GCCACTCCGCAATAGCAGTGATCTTCGCGTCGTCCATGTGGAGACCCTGGTCAGACACGTAGTGTCCTAAGAAATCCACTTTGTGCTGGGCAAAGCGGCACTTCCTTAGCTTGGCGTAGAAGCCATGTCTGCGCAAGCGGTCAAGGACGTCGCGGAGGTGTCTGAGGTGCTCCTCAAGGGTACGACTATAGACCAAGATATCGTCGAGGTAGACGAGAACATACTGCTCCATGATGTCCCTGAAGATGTCGTTCATCGCCCTCTGGAAGGTAGCGGGTGCGTTGGTGAGGCCGAATGGCATCACCGTGAACTCGTAGTGGCCGAATCGCGATCGGAACGCGGTCTTCGGCTGGTCGGCTGCAGCGACGCGGATCTAATGGTAACCGCTACGAAGATCAATCTTCGTAAAGAAGCGGTTGCCTGCTAGGCGGTCGAACAGCTCATCGGAACGAGGCATGGGGTAGCAGTTCTTAACCGTGTAGCGGTTGAGGCCGCGGTAGTCGATGCAGAGACGAAGAGTTTCATCCGCTTTGCGAGCATAGAGAACGGGTGCACCCCACGAGGAGTTGCTGGGTTTAATGAAACCCAGTCTCAAGAGCTCCTCAAGCTGACGCTTGAGTTCGGTGGCCTCGGGGATCGAAAGTCTGTAGGGTGCCTGGTGGTGAACACGATAGTCAGGCACAAGCTGAATGGAGTGCTCGACGTCACGCATCGGTGGGATGCCGGTGTACGAAAACGACGACGGGAAAACGTCGTGGTACTCTCGGATGAGGTCACGAACTGCGGGCTCCAAGTCAGCCGTATATCGTGCGAGTTCCTCAGCGTCAGCATCAGCGCGCGACGGCGGGGTGGACTCGACGGACGGCGGAGGGACGGAAGTACAGATGGGAGCCATGGAGATAGAGGGAGGATCTGACTCCAGAGGGATGAGCTCGGCGTCGGGACAAGGTGGATCATAGTGTAAGAGATCCGTCACGTCCACCATAAGGAAGGTGACGTCGTCCTGTCGAATGAAGTGAGCGAACTGCCGAGGTGAGGTGACAGTGATAGAGGGAGATGGTGTGGGCACAGAAGGCTCCGGGAGAGGAGGATCGGGGCGAGGTGTCGCAGTGGCACCTATGAAAGGTACGCGATACGTCTGTCCACACTTCGTTTTGAGAACGAGAGTGTTGGTCTCCCAATCGGCCTCGGTGCTGCGGAACCGACGAGACCACGGAGTGCCAAGAATGAAGTCGTACCTCGTCTCCATCACATCAAAATGTGCAGAGGAGCGGTGGCGACGAGACGCCGGGGAACGATCAGTCGGCTCGAGAGTGAGGAAGAAAGGGAGGTCGGTGACCGTCTGATCGAAGAAGCGCTTGGTCTTGTCATCCCCTAAGGTAACGTTGATGGGAGTCGGAGACCCTGTCGTGGGTAAGCGAGCTTCTTTCACCACGCGTGGGTGAATGAAGTCGCTCTGAGGAACGGAATCCCACAGCGCGGAGTACACCCTCGTGGAGGTCCCGAGTCGTACGGGGATGATCGGGAGGGTGCGATCAGGGTCAGAGAGGATGGCGGGAAGGCGACGCAGTGCAGCGACATGGAGGGTGAGTCGCTCCTGACGAGCCTGGAGCATGCTCAAGTCCATAATAGAGGACACAACGTCCTCGCGAGTAGCAAGCTGCTCGCTGGAACAGGCTGAGCGAATGGCTCGACGCGTCGGTAGTCGCGGAGGGGAAGGAGGGGAGACGGTGGTCTGCGGAGGCGCAGACGGTACTGCGACAGAGAGCTGAGTACACTCTGTCGAGTCCTGCGATACCTCAACTCCAGTAGCGAGAGGGGCGAACCACGACGGAGATGTCGGGAAACCCACTACTGAGGAGGGCGCAGGTGTACACTGCACCATGGCTAGGAGGCGCCTCGGGGACGTGAGGCACCGGGGGGGGACTGAGCATGACGCTGACGAGAAAGGTCAGCGTAGTGGCGGTCGAGGGCGGTAGTTTAAGGGCACCACGAGGAGGTATTACCGTCCTGACAACATCGCAAACACCCACGTCGGCCCATAATAGTCGCGCGCTCCTTGGCGGAAAGGACACCGCGAGGAGGAACAAAGCCCTGAGGGAAGTCCTGCTGAGGGACCTCGGGGGGCGCGCTGTGGGATTCCGATTCTCAGGGCGACTTCATTCACCCACGCGTGGTGAAAGAAGCTCGCTTACCCACGACAGGGTCTCCGACTCCCATCAACATTACCTTAGGGGATGACAAGACCCAACGCTTCTTCGATCAGACGGTCACGAACCTCCCTTTCTTCCTCACTCTCGAGCCGACTGATCGTTCCCCGGCGTCTCGTCGCCACCGCTCCTCTGCACATTTTGATGTGATGGAGACGAGGTACGACTTCATTCTTGGCACTCCGTGGTCTCGTCGGTTCCGCAGCACCGAGGCCGATTGGGAGACCAACACTCTCGTTCTCAAAACGAAGTGTGGACAGACGTATCGCGTACCTTTCATAGGTGTCACTGCGACACCTCGCCCCGATCCTCCTCTCCCGGAGCCTTCTGTGCCCACACCATCTCCCTCTATCACTGTCACCTCACCTCGGCAGTTCGCTC